TAGTCAAAATGTTTAATACTAGCTATCAACAATAACTACATCCATAATACCTGACTGTGTTGATTGAGTTGGCTTCTCCAATTTGTCATCGTCCTGCTAACCAAAATATGAAAACAACCAAAGGAAAAATTCTAAGCATAAGGTTCTACTTGAAAAGAACTGAATTACCATTAACCCAAACAAAACTTTTAAATGAAGCTTCAAAAATCACATTGCATTCGTATGAACTTTTCTCAGTAGTCCAAGCAAATACAAGTATAGTCACCTGCATAACTTCCCATTTAATTTGATGCCTTTTACAGACAGTCAACTTTTACAGAATCAATCAAAATAATGAATCTTTTCGGATAAAAGAAAAAATATCATTAGAAAAGAAAAATAGGAAAACAGAAACTTCATGAAAGGCCTAGGTGTCCTCCAAACAAAAGAAAAATAGAAAAGAAGAGAAAAGGATTAGAAAAACAGAAACTTAAACCCATCAAATATCTATGTAAGGTAAACCGAAATATCCTTGTAAAGCCCATGCCCATCAAATAGGACATGGACTCCATATTAGTTTTGAACCCGTAATCATAAAATTTATATATTGAAAGATGAGTGTAGTCGAAGAAGGTGGGCAGCTTCATTAAGTGAATTCATCACAAACTGTCCCAGTGAGCGATGGAACTCCTAGCCAAACAAACTTATAATATCTGAAAGAGGAAAATCGTGACACTCATATATCTCATCATGGCTTTTTCCCAATTTCCCAAAGAAAAAACATAATGTGCAAAGCAAGATCCTCAAATATCTAGGAAGAGTAATCTACAAATAGTCCTAACCTGGAGCATTTCTGCGTAAGTAATAAGTCTCAAGGTTCAATCATCATGTCTGAACTTGACAGCTCAAGACTTTACTACTACACCAAGTAATGACTCCCATGAAACAATCAAATACCAAAGCAAAAACTCCTCATTAACACATTTTAACTTGCAAATCTGGGAGACGACAGCAAAGCCCATGACTATAATCCAAATACATGAGATTATAGTAGTTGGATAGACATAATTACATTTTTCGACCAACAAAGAGCACCAGAAGTAACAACTTTACCTTCTAAGTAGAGGTTGCAACAAAACTTAATCACACCATTTGCGGAAAATTCATCATAACACCTAATTTACTTAGAAATTACATTCAAACTGGATACCTAAACAGTCCGAAAACAGAACACCAATTATTCGAATGCTCGGTAACGAGGCATACACATTAAAGATAAAGTAAATAAAATGCTAGAACTCTATTATAATTAATACTATATTAACGATTCCAAAATTAGCTAGTCCATACAATACAATATTCCAAGTACAAACCCTTAAAATGCAAGCCATCTTATAAATATATAGCAAGGCGAGGAGATTCATCGGAAAAGATACCGACCATTCGTGCTCGACGAAGCGTCCTGCGTTCCTTCTCCTCTTCAAGGCGCTTAATTTTGGCACGAATTTTCTGACCCTTGTCGCGCATCTTTGAGGCCATAGTACCGAGCAGCGCGTTTTGGCGCTGAATCTGCACCTCGAGCTCATGATCGGAAAGCAGCTGCTCGTAATCTTGCTGATCATCCACCGGAAAATTGCTGACGCCGCTCATTTTCTCCAACGGTGTTGTCGGTGCCCTACTCTTCCCGATTACCTCTACCTCTTGCGGCTCCTCTTCTTCGCCGTTGTCCCACACGGCCTTCCAGTCTATCTCTAGCTTTCTTTTCTTGCCTTCCCCTTCCTCTTCCATGCATAGAAACGGGCAAGAAATGAAAAGCAAAATAGATACTCAAATAGTCGTCTGTTTTTCTACAGTGGCTGCTCCAGTCAAGATTGTAACTTGCCCTTTTACAGTATATTTTGGTCGCGTCTCTCAAATTTGTGGAAACGCCTGAGCGAAAGGGTAAGCCGTAAAAGTCATCACTCATCAGGGTGCGCTTTTACTGCAGCCAGATTCATTTGAGATTGATCTCTGTACTCGAGCGTGCCTTTACGTTTCAGATATTGGAGTGGAAGTATCGAAACAGGGAGTGGCAACAGTAGTTCTGAAAATTGGCCAGCAAAAAGTAATAAGAACTTAGAAAGAGAAATGATTGGGAACTCCCTTAATTATTATCTTTCAAAAAAAAACAAAAAAAAAAAAGAATTCAGCGTTTGTTAATTATTAATAAGGTAAAACATAACGAGTTTTTTTATAAAAAGAAAAAAGAAAATCCACATATCTAATATTATATAACCCTAACCAATGTCTTTTAACTCAACTGTTAACCAGATTTTCGTTCAAGTTAAAATTTTAAATTTTAAATTTTTATCTAATATAAAATTAATAAATATTAACGTGATTCTATTAAATATAAAAATATTTTAACACTATTAATATTAATGATCATATCTTATTAAAAATATTAACTAGATTAATACAAAAGTTTGTATAAATTTTTTGCAAGTTTTATACAAATATGTAAATAAATTTTTAGTCATGTACTATCTAACGTAAAACCTCATATTACTGCAATTATTTTAAATTAGTTCATCTTTATTAAAAATTTATAACCTATTATATTTTTTCTATTAAGTAAAAATTATTTGGTAAATTTTATGTATTACATTTACATGCAATTATCAATTCTAAATATAGATAAAGTATTGTGTATATTAAAAATATGAATTAAATATATGAATTTATATATGATAATTTTACTTTTAGAATTTTAAAATTCTAAAAATGTTACGATAATATTTAAAGTAACAAATTATCTATGCATAGAATAATGTCTTGTATACAAAATAATATATATATCTAATCAACAAAGATGTTTTGATATTTTGTTATGACAAAAAATGTATCAAAGTATTATCTAATTTTTTTTACCATAATTATTGATCTAGTAACTTCATCAATGTCTATAATAATACTAGTCATATTTTGATGCAAGTATTAAGATATTTGGCTATATTATAAATATGTTAAAAGAAAATATATATACTTCAAAAAAGTGTTAAATGTAGTGCATGAATTAAAATATTAATCTGAAATTGGTGAAGGTCTAAAAGAACATGTTAAGTATTTAGTTAACTATTTTATTAAAGATTTTATTTTTTTATAATTATTCATTACGACATAAAAAAAAAGTTATATTGTTCGAACTAGATTCATAAATAACAAAAAAATAACTATTTAAGTTCATTTTAAAAACAAATACAATTACTTTTATTAAATTTTGACTTTTAAAACATATTCTAACTTTTATTATAAGTTAATTAAAAGAAGTTCCAACTTTTTTTTATCTTTTAAAAAAATTTATTGATTTAAAAGATTAAAAAAATATTATTTATAAAAATATTGATATATATATATATTAAATAAAAAATCCACTTAAAAACTCATTTTAAAAAATTATTGCAATAATTTGAACTTTAAACTAACTTTAAAAATTTCTAGTTTGATTTTTTTGTAATGAATATATATTAGATAATATGATCATGTCTTACAATTTAAACAAGACCTCTTAAAAAAATTTATTCAAACAATATGTTGTCATATATATCAAATTACGTGGAGACAATTAATATGCGATATACAAAATACAATAAAATATTACAATAAATACAAAAAAATGAAACATGATTTTTAACTTCTTAACTAATTCATGTATGTATGTTCACTTATATTTTGCATTCCTAATAATAGTTATATGTAATCAAATAAAATCCATACCTAAAAAGGTGCATACTTTTTTATGGATAATTTTTACACAAGTTTGTATGCAAAAACATGACTTATTGATAGTGTTTATACAATCACACTTCATTTATTGTATTGTGCACAATTAGCCTACATGATACTATACCTATTGTAAAGCCTCGTTTTTTTTTTCTTAATGGCGTAAGCTAACACAGTTCCACGAACAAATACGAAAGTTACATTTCAAATCAATCACACATATAGAAACCTTACCACAATCTATTATTCAAAGTCAAGATAAACCTGTAACCCTACATGTAACATCACGCTGAAATATAGTCTCATATACTCCCAGCAGACAAACTATCTATACTACTACTAATTTTTACACATTCAGTTATGCCAAATAAAGAAAACATCCTTGCTCTGTTCCTCTATCCGCTAGGCTCGGAAACCAACAACTTCGATCCCAACTCCATCCCTACTTCATATGTGAATAATAAAGAGTGAGTACATACAACTCAGTACAGTAAAAATTAAGTTACAAGTATCATATGCAACAATAAGGAACTCATCATTTCTATATTTACTCCACCTACTTAACTTAAGTCATACCTTAAGACCACCCTGGGACTATTAAGAACTAATACCTATCATTAGTAATTTAAATATTATGCATGTTAAATGTGACCGTCTCTCGACGTCCCCCAACTGTACAAATATTCTCACCCGTCACCAGTATCGACGACCATCATTAAACGGCCTACCTCTCGACCCCTAACGGGCCACACACACACACAAATATTATTTTTTTCCGTCACCAATATCGGCGACCCAACCCCTTCTCCGTCGGAGTCTCCCGACCATCACCACTATTAGCGATCAACTTACTTATTCTAGATAACGACAACTAACATCAGTGTGCCCCAATGCTACCAACTCAAAAACAATATCATCCTGCTCTCATTCCACCGCCTTGTCCTGAAGCTCTCATATACCTATAACCTGTGTATCGAAACTACAAACGTTTCCCCATAAGACACACATTAACACTTAACACACCCACACCAGTAATGTTCCCTTGCCAACTACCAAATTTACAGCAGCTATACCAACCTATATACAACCCACACCCTCACACTGTACAACTACACCACTCACCCCCTCGCCCTACACAGTTACACCCACACACCTCTATCCCGACACCTCACACCCACACTCTAGAGGCCTCTCTTTCCTCCTCCCTAATTTTCAGCATACACACACTCCACCCTTCCCTGTCTATCTCCACTCTCAACCACACACCACTTCATCTCTTATATAAATCCACCTCACTCACCGAATCCCTTATTCTCTCTCCTTCCACAGCCTACTCTAAATACCCCACTCATAATCACGAAATCACCTCTCTCTCACGAACCTCACTCACACACCGCATTCCTTATTCTCTCTCCTCCCGTGGACTCCTCCCCAAACTTCCATTCATACTCACATAAAATCTTCTCTCTCACACGGACCTCACTCACACACCGCGTTCCTTCCTCTCTCTCCTCCCATGGCCCCCTCCATAAACCTCCATTCATACTCACGCAGAATCTCTTCCCTCTCACGAACCTCACTCACACACCGCACTCCTTCTTTTCTCTCCTCCCGTGACCCCCCTCCATAAACCTCCCTTCATGCTCACACAAGACCTCCTCCCTCTCACGAACCTCACTCACACACTGCACTTCTTCTTTTTTCTCCTCCTGCGACCTTCTTCATATGCCCCCGCTCATACTCACACAACATCTCATCTCCCTCATGGACCTCCCTCACACGCTATGTTCCTTCTTCGCTCTCCTCCCGCGGCCTCTTTCATACACCTTCACTCATACTCACACAAAATCCTCCACTACGGTCAAAATTTCAAATCTACATCAACCTATGCATATAACTTAAAGTTTATCGTACCTCCCATCTCCATATTCTTTCTTCCCGTGGCTTGCTCTGCCACCGTCCTCTTTTTCCTCCTCTCTCTCTTCTCTTTCCTCTCCCTCTGGCTCTTCTCTCTCTCTCTCTCTCGAACCTTCTCTTCCCCCCGATCTCTCTTCTTTGTTTTCTTTCTTTACTTTCCTCTTGTTTGTCTTTTCCTTTTTCCTTTCTTTTCTTTTTTTTTTCTTTCCCGTCTCCTATTTATACCCCACCTGCTTCCCATCCTACCCGTCCATCTCAACTCATCCCAACCGTCTACTCCCTCTTCTCCAAACGACGTCGTTTCCTCATCCTCTTCTCCAAACGACGTTGTTTCCTCCCCCTCATCACCAAATGACACCATTTCTTCTAAACGACGTCGTTTCCTCATCTTCTACTCCAAACGATGCCGTTTCCTCCCTCTATTCTCCAAACAGCACCGTTTCACTCTAACTATCTCTATATACACATATATACATACATGCCAGAATTTTTTTTTTCTTTACATCCAGTTACTACACCTATATACAATATACATGTTCATTAGACATACTTGTTTGTGCATTTGTTCATAATATTTTAGGTACACGTTCTTTACTTCAATATGATATATTTTATACATTTACTTTTAATGGTTAATCATTAAAATTTTTACTCCATTATCTATAAATAAATAGGATCGATTTATATTATATTTTGAGTTAATCTCGTGTTAATTCAAAATTTACAAACTGGTTAAAAATATATATATTTTTTAATCTTCAAACACTTATATGCTTGAATTTTATCAGTAAGTAAATTAAAAAAATTGAACAAAAATCATATAATTTCTTTATGGGGTGAAAAATATCCTTGTTATAATGAATATTATCCATATTTTATTTAATGCTAAGTGATTTTTTCTAATGGATATTTAATACTTATAGTAAGTTAAAGAGTGTAGTAAGCCTTAAAGATAAGTGAAGTTTTGTTGATTATAATAACAGTTCATGAAATATTTATCTATATTCATAAAACTGCAAATTTTTAAAACTAGGATTAAGAGTATAATACTAAATTTATACTTTGTTATATAATGAGTCATCTATTCCCTTAGTTTTTTATATTTTTTTGTCTTTTTCTTACTATAGTTTTTGATATTTTTTGCTTTTTTTTAGTATTATTGATTTTTTTTCATAATATTTATTCACAGTAATACGAGTCTACTATGTATAAATTAGTTGATTATCAAAATAATTTATAAAGATGGTAATATATGAACAATCCTATACCTTAAAAAAAAGTAAGTAAATAAATTTTCATCATGTAACAATTAGTGAATTTACTTTCTTATTTATTGTTATAAGTTCTTTATCATAAAATTTAATGGAGTTTCCTAAAATTAAAATGTTTTTCATGTTAAAACTTGATAAAATTCGCTCATAACTAATGAAGAATCACAATGATGTCCATTTAACATTATAAAGTAGGAGAATTTTGAGATGCATCTGTAATGGGGTTAACAAACTCATATATAAAACTTACATGTCTCACAATTATTTCTAAAAATAGTCATTCAACTTTATTATATATATATATATATATATTTTTACTTTAAGTTTTGAAGCAAATGGCAATGTTTTTACTTTTGGTTTATTTGAAGATAACAAAACAACTCAAATGCAATAAAAGTACGAATAATAATGAGGTAACTACGAATAAAATGCATATGAGCATGTGTATTAACTGATTACATTATAATTTAATATATTAATTTTTTACATTTTATGATACTAATATATAAGTTAGTATGTTTAAACTCATTTAGAGTAGTTAATTGTGTATTTTACAATTCTACTACAAGAATTAATATGTTTAAACTGAATTTTGATGATTAAAAATATATAATTAAAGTTACTAAAATTATGATATACAAGAGACTATTGATTCTAAAAATATAAAGTAGACACATTAACTAATTTTTTTTTTTGATGATCTATATATTAGGGATACAAATAACTTATTGTCTACCCAAAAAATTTTATGAATACACACTCATTGCATAA